GATTTGTTTTGGTCCGGTCTGTACTCTACTCTGTTGGCCATTTTAGTTAGCTTCTGCTGCTATTTGTATCTGTATTTCTATTTTATGTTTTCCTGTTCGCTGTGCATGTTTGTGTTTCTTTTGTACAGCACTTTGGTTGGCCTTGTTGCTGTTTTAAGTGCTATATAAATAAATTGGTATGGTATGGTATGGTATATATAATATATAGTATATACTATATACCAGTATATATTGTAATATATATATTTATACATAAAAAATTGACCATTTGTTTTTATACCTGTACATTTTGTAGAGATAAAAAGGTCAAAGTTTCAAATTATTGATAAACCAGTGAGATATTTAGGTGAACTGATAAAAGCTGACTAAGATCGTCATGGAGGACAAAGTGCAAATTAACAGGAAAAATAAAAAATTCCTAAACACAGAGTTTTGAATGACTGCTCGTGTCAGGAGCATCATTTTACTGCAGCAGTGTAGAGAACATTAGGACGGGGTTTAGGCTCCCGTTAAAAGTTTTGTATCCTTTTCTTTTATCCCCAAAACAGGACGTCAAAATTATAATAGTATTTTTATTGCATTTTAGATTATATACAAATATTCTATCCAATTATGCATCTGATTTATTAATTAGCAAGAAAAGAGTTGTTTCAATGCCGTCTTTGTTTTCACTTGAAAACAGGAAAAACATTAAAAACATAGATCAACATTAAAATTTCTTCGAATTTTGAAAATGTTCTGAAAACTGAAGAATCTTCGTAGCTACGTTTCTTTGTCGTAGTTGAAAAAAAAACCGACCAGTTTCAGGTCTCTCGTCCCCGAGTCCTGCCAGCAGATCCACAGTCCGATTCAGGTCCTCAGACGTCGGAGCCTTCTCCGACACGAGGCCACAGAGTTCCCCCAAAGACTTCAGCTAACGGAGGCAGACAGGGCAGAAAATACTGTAAAATATATATTTACTTTATACTGGTCTAATCATTAACAATTATCAAAATCAATAATTCTGATGTGATAATGAGATTGAAAACAAACAGAATAAATCTGCATAAGAATTATACGTCATCAACTGTCTTCTCTTATATGGCTGGATATGAACGATGGGAAAAGAAAGCACAATTAAATAAAAGTCCACAAATAATCAAAGCCACTAAATGTTTTTTTACCTTATCTGTAGCATAAGCCCAGAGTCCGACAGTATGCGAGGAGTTAGCAGCGATTTGAGCCTGATCACAGCAGCCCTCGATCCTGTGCAGAACCTCCAAGCAGCTGAGAAACACCCAACAGTCCAGAGCCCCGTCCACAACAGACACCTCCAGGAGAGAAAGAACATTTTAAGATGAGTGCACGAGAAGCACAGCGTGCACAGGCCTGTCACGATAACAAATTTTGCTTTGTCTCAGAAATTATTGAACGATTACATTGTTTGAAATTTGACAATAATTAGTAATTATTGTCAAATTTAAGACGAAATATTGGTTAATTTGTTTCGAGTGCAGTACCTTATTTTGACCACTGGATGGCAGTATGAGACTGTTTGAACCGAAGGATGGATAGTGAGGGAGGGAGCAGTGTGTCTCTTTAAGAAAAATGAGAGGGAGGCCCCTTGACATGACATGGGCTGTCTCTCCTTCTTTTTCCGTTCCCAAAATGGCAAACGCTCGGTTTGAGCTCTTTAGCATAGCATTTGTCACACAAAGCTTTTAATAAAAAAAATCAGTAAACAAGTTCTCAGCTTCTTTTTTCAGAGAAAAACAACTTTTTAGACGAAGGCGCGAGTTTCAACCGTGAATTTTGGAGCTTCGAACAAGACGGAGGTTTTTCCCTGAGGTCGGCCTGTTAGCTTAGCTCGAAGCTTCGCTTCTCAGTTTAGCTGCTTTTAACGATCCAGAAACGTGAGTTTAGATGGTTGAAACAGATTTTAATGGGAAAAGAGAACGGGAAGGGTCAGTGACGAACCGGAGTTGAGCCTTTTGTCATCCAGTGTCTTCAGTAGAAAGAGACACGAAGAAACGATAAAGCCGATAAATGAAAATGAGGATGATAATTTTCATTTATCATGCGATTAATTGATTTACTGTTTATTGCGACAGGCCTAAGCGTGCATATAAGAGGAGGTGTGGTTCACCTCCAGCAGACGCAGCTCCTGGACACAGTTGTGAAGCAGCTCTAAGGCTCTCTGAGTGACCTCCCACGGTCTCTGCAGGAAGATGAGTAAAGTGCACTGACGAGAAAACAGGTAGCTCCTCAGGTCCAACAGGCTGGCCTCTCCATGCTGGATGCTGTCTCTCTTTTCCATGTCGATGGGCCGTCGGAGAAGCAAGCCGCTCCAGTTACGCACCGGCGCGCAGAACGAGCCGAGCCAGTTAGCCGTGTCTGTGGATGGAAACAAGACGACTAAAACTCACAACAAACATCTGATGATGATGATGATTTCAAAACTGAAGCAAAAACTAAGACTTTAACAGGAAGAGGAGTGTGAACTTACCTCCAGCTCCAAAATTAAGGACGTACTGCGTAAAAAGAGCATCTAGCTCATCGTACTGAACCAAAGCATCCTCAAACTGCTGCAGCATCTCAAAAACAAAGGCCAGCTCCTCCTGCACAGCCACAAGCAGAAAACAATCCAAGCTGAAGTGGAGCCGAGTGCAATCATGATCGCAAGCAATTCACAACAACCGAGCGTTGACGTAAAATGTATTTTACTTTTAACTGAAGATCCTGAAGTTAATTTTACTGGATTTATCTCAAAGAAAATAAAAAATAAACAGTGAAAACAGAACATGTAATAAAACGAGAAAGGAAGTTTACATCCTCAGTCTCCGCCTCGCTCCTCCTTCAGCTACATAGAATATTTGGTTGTACTCTAGTTCTGGGTACCTGAACCATAAAATAGTCACAGAAGCTCCAGCCGGGCTGGGTTCGTTTCTCTCGGAGCGTTCGCATATCGTCTTCGAACCGGCCCAGGTTCTTAGTGAAGGACATGAGGAGGAGAGTCCGCAGCTTCAGCAGGAGGGCGTTCCAAGACTCCACGGAGCGAGACGAGTCCTTCAGAGGATCTGACAGAACCACGCACCTGGATAAAAAAAAATACATACAACCAGGAAAGATTTGAATGGTTTTAAGCATCTGCTTCAATATCCAACCTGTTGGAAAAACTGAGTAAAATGTGACTATAAGTGTGCACTGATCAGCTGTGAATCAACACAAGAGTCAAGTCAAGCAGCTCCTCAAGCCATTAAACACTGCAGTAATTAGAAAACAAACGCAGCCGGAGAACACGTGACACTTTTATCGTTTTAAAAAACGAGAAAGAAATCTGGATAAACATGAAGCTCAACCAGGCCTCTCACATAAAACACGATCCCTTTAACGCCATCCACAGCAGAAGCATCACCTTCAGCTGTTTGTGTAGCAAAAGAAGGAACTGTGGAACAACGTGTTGTGAAGGAAGTTAACCTGTTCTCATTTTCTGCCACTTCGATCCAAATCGACCTTTTCAAAAGAGGAGAAGTCTCGTCACCTGTCGTTCTGCTTGTTGCAGAAGTCACTGCGGATCTTGTCCACGATGGAAGACCGAGGCAGGATGTTTGTCTTGTTTTTCTTCTTCGTGTCATTGGTTTCTACGACGATGATCACCCAGTCTGCCGAGCCGTGGCTCCGTAAGATGTTCTGCCAGCGCATCATGTCCTCTTTCACTGAGCTCTTGTACATCTCCGTGTCCTGCAATAAAACAAACATGTCATTAGGTGATAAACTGGCACTTATGAACACCAATCAGGCATGTGACCGCCGACGGGTGAGACTCGCTGATCATCTCGTTATAGTGACACCTGGCAGTGACTGGATTATAATGAACACCTCGTCTTTGAAGTCAATAACAGAAGCACGAACAATGTAGTTGAAGCACTGGCCCGACTTTCACAAAGGTCAAAATATGTTGACCAGACAGCCAAAGTAATGTAGATGTACTGGAATCAGAGACACCAGGTTGATAAAAAAAAGTTCCCTTTCAGAGCATTCATTTTGTGATTCAGACTGGGAACGCTCTCATCAGAAGCTTTGATTACACGACGCCAGCCAGGATCGGCTGGATACAAGCCTGGAGCTGTCAAGAAGGGAAGGGTCCCCCCCTGCGTGTAGGGCTGTCACCGCACTGACAATTTATTCAAAATCTTTTCTCGCAACAAACAGGATTTCCCACCATTTTACTCGAGGTACAGTCTCTCTCTGAGAGCCTAGACGAACTGTCCGTAGACGTGCGCAAGCTCGGTCGCTTTGCTCTGGGTCAGCACAGCAGTTGTTCATCAGTAGCAGTACCGCAGATGTGTATTCAGAGCCTCCCTCAGACAACAACAAGGATTATGACCCATCTGCCCAACCCTCAGGTCGAGTAGCAAAACCTGCTTTTTCAGGCACGGGCCCGAAAACCCATCCTCACCTGAACCGGGTTTCGACTGCACAACATAGCAGGCCAGCTCCCTGTGGTAGGTCGTTTATGAAGGGGGCTCAACGAAAACGTCCCGTTTCAAAACCTATAACTCCTTCATGGGATCTAGTCTTAGTGCTGGAGGCTCTCACTGATCTACCTTTGAGCCTCTGGGTCAGATAGAAATAAAGTTACTGGTACTTGTCTCTATGTAGGTTCAACTAATGTTATACCAGTACACCCAGCCGCCCTCCTTTCTCTTCTGAGGAGCAGGAGAGGTTACACAAACTCTGCCCGCTGTGACGCTTTGGTCAGGCCGCTTATGTGCATGTTACTTTTACATTTACCATCCACCTAAATGTTGTTTCAGATCATTGTTTAAGAATACACCTTTATGGAAACAACATTCCCTGAGAAGTCAGCTGAATAATCATTCCTGTTGCTCAACATCTGCTCAAAGAGCACAACATGTTTAAGGTTATGACCGGACCAATTAAATTTCCTGATCCCAGTCCAATCAAATGTCTGTGGTGTGTGTTGTAAGTCATAAAGGCTCATGCTGGCAAGTTGCATGGCCTGAAGCTGCTGCTGCTGACAGCTTGGTGCCAGATATTAAATCAGACCTACAGCGGAGCTCGTGTTTAGTCATCTCAGGGCTGTTTCTATGGTCAGGATGAACAAATCTTTGGTGATGGTCTGGATGACTGGTACTTTATAAATGAGGTAGCAGGTGCTGCATGTTTTGATTAGCTTGCACAATATAGCATGATAATATTAACAGTTATAATTCATTCTAGAGCATTACAACAACATGATAATGAACAAACACCGTACAAGTTATTATGCCTTACTGTGCCATTTACTTTCATTATACTGGAATTTTATTGTGTGTATATGAAAGGTTTTTGTTATGGTTATGATCGAATGACAAATAAAGTGTATAACACACTTCTAATTTAGCCGTTATGCAATTTGACAAAGAGTAAAGTAGTTCAACAATTATAGTTTTAACATCAAATCTTTATCAGAAAGAGAAAACAACAAAAATAAAACTGCTTGGCAAGTTCAAAATGTCCTTAAACTAAACCCATTTATCTGTGAAAGTGAAATGTGATGCTGGGACTTCCTGTGTGAAATGCTGCAGACTGACTGATGCCCGAGGGTGAAGTTTGTTCTAAATTGGATGGAAGTGAGAAGATCTGGGATATAACTCCATGACGCACTCGTCGTGCAACCGTCACCTGCAGGGAGAGAAACCTGAGCCCTGGAGTTACACAATGTTTTGTAACTTAAATAAACCGTTACAGTCTGCGCGAGTGTTTTTAGCATGAAACTGTGCAGGCGCATATCTGAAGTTAAAAAAATGAATTAGGCTAATCACAAAATTCTAAACATGCGTTTGCTTTTTAAGACGGCCACAAATGTCTTTTCAGTAAATGCACTCTGACGTTCTTGTGACTGAAATGTTTGTTTTGCTAGAATGTGATGTGAACAGAACCGTCTTGTTTAGTCTTAGCAGAAGCGCAACACGTGCACATGGACAGGTTTCCTATCAGTGACGGGAGGTGTTTTATAGCATGTCCATAATTCAGTGTAGCACCGGTTCTTATCCTGTGGGCCTCGGTGTAGAACTGAAACAGCAAATACAATTCACTTTGTAAACTCAGCTACGTGAAAAACTGCTAAATCTGCTTGATCTTTGCCAAAACACAGTTTAAGCCCCCTGTTCAGAAACGAGCAGACCGTGGTGCTGCGACAGTGACATCATGTCCGTCAGGTGAAGAGTGAGCGAGACAGAACTGGATATAAAAACCTGCAACTAAACAACCGGCGTGAAGTTCAAGAAGGAACACTTTTACTCATCAGTTTGCATGTTTGAATAGCTATTTTGTGCACAAACATTAGTACGGAGTGTGGACAAATTATATCAATAAAGACGTAAAAGCTGCTGCATTGACCTGTGAACACACCGAGCCAACATGATGTTTGAGGAGGCGGCTCCTTAATCTCATAGTTGCATCAAAAATGTAAAAGTTTATTGGTCTTTTTAAACCAACCTGTTCTGCTGATACACACTCCGGCTGGTCTGACTGAATTATTTAGATCAGAAAGCAGAAAAAGATAATACTTGAGCCATTTATTGTAATAAAATGTTAAAAAGCCAACTAATATTAAGTATGGTTTAATTGTGTGCTGTAATAGAGATTGTTTCAGTTTTATTGCACAAGTGCTGCTCTGTCAGTACACGGGTTTATTCTCCAACTCCACAGGCGTAGCGGTTTAGAAACGTCACGAGCTCATGGCAACGTTTCCTTAAATGATCCAGCTGCTCAGTCAGCAGCTGGAGCTTCCTGCTTCTCTCTACACCGTTGAACTGTTTAAAGCTGACGGCTGCAGGATCTTCCACTTGGACCAGCTAAGTTCAGACATATGACACAGACAAAGTGGAAAAGTTCATTTTTTATGTTCCCATGAGCAGATTATCTTTTCCATTCCATAGAGAAGGAACATAAACTAGAAAATATTTTAAAAACTAGAATGTATGCCTGACAGCCTTTACAAACAGAGTTATTTTTTCATTCATTCAACCTTTATTTATACAGGTTAGTCTCAGGTTAGGTTAGTTATGACTTATTTGAGTTAATAAATTGATAATTAGACGACCGGATAACAAAAACTTTCTACTCTTCAGTAAAACACGAGCAGCTATGTCTGCCTTAACATGAAATGTAAGGAACTATCAAGAGCCAGATGTTGAGGTACTAAACATTTATGCATGGTGGGGCATGAACAAAATCTAAAACAGTCTGCAGCCCTCATGAATATGCACATAAAAACATTAACCACACAGAACAAGTCTTCTCTTTGGAGTTATTATACGTGTGGCTTCAAATAACTTCATGACCACAAAATAAAATTAGAGATGTCTTGACTGCATCTGTATACAAAAGGTACGCTGACGTCCCCCCCCCCCACCATCGCTGAGGGATTTAACAGTGAATGTTTGTAGTTTTCAAGATGAGTGTTTTTCTCGACTGGAACTGAACAGAGAACGAAGTAAACCTAAATGTTTTTGGTTCAAGATATTCAAGTGGGTGCGAGGCCACCACCCGAATCATTGGAGGAAACTACAATTCAGTTTAAAACTAGAAAGCAGCGTGTCCTCCAGTGACGGGCTGGTCAGTTCACAGGCAGACATGGCAGTGGCCATCTTGGATTTTGACATGGCAACTCAATTTTCAATGGCAACTTTTCTTACGACTGGATGCAGCCGCATAACAAAATGAAAGACTTGGGCGTTTTCAAGTTATCGTGCACACAACAGCCTCGAATGGACGGACAGAAGGAGTCTTCGCTCCGTGACGGGGGACGATAAGCACTAACAGAGAGGGAGGGGGATAGACCTGCAGTATGTCTAACTTGTGGATAAAACAACCATCACTTTACTTCATAAAATACACATTTTTTGTTATTCACAAGACAAAAACCAGAAGAAATGTTTTTCTTTACAGATTTAGAGATCTTTAATTCAATCTGAGCCTCCTGACATATATTTAAAGGCAATTACATCTTAATGATTTGCAAGCAGGGCAGTGTACTTCCTCTATTAAGTGTGTGTGTGTGTGTGTGTGTTCAGTCTACTCACACAGCAATCGGTCCAGTATATGTGGAGGAAGGGAAAGGTGAGCAGAGCCTTGTTGCCGTCCTTCGGGAGCAGCTCCTCTTTAAACTGGACAAAATTAGCTTCAAGGTGGATCATTTTCGGTGCGCGGCCATAAGTCCTGCACACAAGACAAAGCATCATTTTTACAGCATCCCTGACGCGGTTATTACAAATAAATTATGAACGTCTTTTGTTCTGCTTCATTAAAAATCTGCTCGTTTGTGATCTGTCAGACATTTACTGGATCGGCAACCATTTCAAAACTTTTGCTCTGTAGAGTTTTAACAAAGGTTTGGATCGATGCTAACTGATCATGCGGCCATCACATTTTTTATTATTGGGGAAAAAGTCAAAGAAATTATTTATTATTTCTGTTCTTCCAGAAAGAATTGTTGGTTCGACTTGGAAATCTGAACCCTGGTCAAACAGAAGACCAGAAACTGGTTTTGCTGCTTTTATTCCAATACAAGGTTATTGACAAGGTAGTTTTCAACCAGAGTTCCTATTAAAGAACCTCCTAGACCCAAATCAGTCTGGCTTTAGGAGTGGCCACTTCAGTGAGACTGTTTTATATTGTGTAACAGAGGTCCCAACAGAGGCGAGAGCTAAAGGTCGGTCCTCAGATCTCACTTTACTTGACCTTTATGCAGCCTTTAACACAACAGATGACCCGACTGTCTGCCCACAAGGAGACGGGAAGCTCAGGCTCAATACACGTTGGTTAAATCTGACCATGAAGAAGTTCTTACAAAGAGACATGTTGAGATTTACATTTTGTTTCTAGTTGTCCACAGTGGCGTCTCTTAGTTCAGTGTTGTGTTTTACAGATGATACCAAACTTTAACCATAATTTCCTTCAGGTGAGTCACACGTTAATTTCCAGCTCGTCTCTCTGAGATATCCACTTAGCTTTGAGAAAAGCACCAGCTACTAAACAAGACCGATCCACAGATCATGAGCCAGTTGATCTTTTCAACACAGTTAATAAAAAGACTCCTCTTGAACCTTTTCTCCAAATACGGTTGGCAGAAAACCAGGTGACACGTTGTTCACCACGTTGCAGTTGTCTCTAAAGCTCTTTTCACAAAATAAGAATGAGAGACCAGGCCAGCTGTCACTGGTTGTTCCTAAGTGATCAGTCGAAGCTGCCACATTCGGTGCTGCTGCACTCTGCAGCGCAGACATGGAACCCTACACATGAACTGCGTTTGGCTTCCCAAGTTCCAAATCCTGTGGCTGGCCGGTCACACACTCCGTCATTGTCACATTACACCACTGAGCCACAATGCTGCTTACGCTTTCACGTACCGATAGTTTTGGCTCTGTGACTACCAGCCTTCAGAGGTGAAACAGCTTGACATCAACTCCCCATCCTAACTCTGTCTTTTCATAAATCACACCGAGACAAAAAAAGATGACACAGGACCAACTTAAAGGGAATTAAGAAATGCTCCTTTCCACTTTACATTATTAAATGATCCCATATTTGACTTGTGCCACCAAACTCCTTGCATCAGCCAGAGCCATCGCTCACTCTGACTACTGCAGTGTTCATGAAGACCATAAAAAGTCCAGAACTTGATGATAAATCTGTTTTGATCAATAAAAGAAGACATCATTTTATCACTTACTGACCAACAACTGTCAGAATTTATAGAAGTCTCCAACACGACCTAAAGATTAAATACAGGGTCTGCATTAAGCATCTAAACCACGACAGCCTCAGCGTTCCTCCCAGTTCCTGGTATCGTCATCTCGATGCAAAAGCAGTCCCATTTCTGTTGTTTGTATTTGTGGCTCCGGTATGCTAAGTCGAGCTGCAAACTTGTGTTTGAGCCGAGGTCTCGCCCTCAAACTTTAAGAAACTCATCAAACATGTCTGACCTGCCCTGTATTTGAGCTTCTGCACTTGTTCAGCAGGTACTGTCATTAAAAAGATTTATAATTTCATGCAAATTCAACATTCTTGTTATTGTTGTGCTGGAAACAGACGCCGGCTTCCTCGTGACCTAGAAAAAGTAGGAAAGGAAAACGGACGGATGAACGTTAAAGCTACAAGGCTTGACCGATGTTACTTTGATCAGACTTGTTAAATTTTATTTTTATGCACATCCTTATAAACTGTGTCATCAGTTTACTACTATTAAACTGGCAGGAAATGGTCTAATTTGCCCAATTGTAAGGAAACTGTAGGATATCTAAACTTTTCTTTAAAAACAAAAGCTAATTTTTAGAATCTAATTATGCTGTTAGCACTGTTCTAGCATATCCTGGTATTTAATATTTATTACTTTTCTACATGAATTTAGCAGGACAGCACTCACCTCCTCCACTCCATTGGCTCCCTGGGAAGTTGTTGAGCCAACGCCGTATAAAGAGACGTGAACAAGCCCTGATCCCCAGCACCTGAAGCGTACGGAAGATTAAAAAAATTACAACATTTTAAAAACAAGTAAAAAAAATCACAAGTGTTTTTAGGACGAAAGTTGTTGTTTCCAACTAAAAAGACGCTTTTCTCCTTAAACTTTGTAGAAACTTCTAAATCTTACAACTGTAATTATTTTGCAGGGGGGGCAGAATGAAAACTTCAGACTTGATGAGTTTGGCAAACAACGCCTCGAGGAGCAGACAATATTTAGGAGGGCAATTTTAACTGGAAACAAACAAAACTTTTTAATTTGCATTTCCTGCTTCAAAACACGGCCTGGAAATAACTTCATGCCATGCCCTCTCCAGTTGCTTTGCTTCAGGGAGCTTCATACTAAAGAAGCGCTAACAATCTAACAAATCCAGTTTTCACCAAGTCCTTTCAAAGAACCGGAGAGAGCAAACTGCCTCACATGCCTGTAGTGATGAATATCAATACTTGTGACCAATCCAATCACACCAGGAGTTTGATTAATTAAAATAAATCTTACTAGTCTTCACAGCTAATGCCAAGTATTATAAATAGATTCAGTGTCTAACATGCTATCCTTGGAAGCAGTTTCATTATGAAGTCATGTGTGCAGACCGTGTGGGCACAGTCTAAGCCTGTTCAACCCACTCACAGAGCAACAGCTACAAAAGACCGAGCTGCTAAAAATCACAGACCACTTCAGAATTGAGCCGTAAAGAAAAGGTTCCTTACGAACACAGAAACGTTTCAGACCTAACGGGGATTTCCTTTAAGTGTGACATTCAGCTGTTGAATATAAAGCCCAAATTTAACTTCCTGCTTCCCCATCCAGGCCTGTTTTACGAGTCAGATTAAACTCTTGCTTTGCTGTCTCCATGTGAAAAACAGAAAAATGTTTGGGCTCCTGTTTCTTCCTTGGTTATTACTTATTCCTTGTCATTATGAGTGCAGCTACAGCGTGCGCTCTCAGGACGTTATTACCTGCAGTGTCCCCACCCCAGAGGACTGAACTAGACAAAAGGACCTTCTCCTACTCCTGTTTCCTGGAACAACTTGCAAAAAGATCTGAAGCTCTCGACCTTTGACCTCTCTAAGTGGATTCACATCTGCTAAGTTCATGGAAAAAAACAACACGAACATGTTCATGTTTTTAGTTTTTTATGTTGCTTTATAATGTAGCTGTTTTTGGTTTGTTTGGCTTTTATACCATTTTCTTCCATTTATTTTTAAAGTATATGTTTTGTTTTAAGAATGTCTACAGTTGTCATCACTCTGTGTTAAAACAGGTCTCTCTTGTAAATGAGTCCTCGAGACTATATGAGACTAACTTGTATGAATGAAGGTTGAAATGAATTAATTTGCACAAACTTTTGAGCACAGCTCGTAATGAACAGTAACGCTATTCGAGAGTCATCGACGATGGTGAGTCATTTTGTCAAAGGAATCTATAATAAACAATATGGAGTGAACATTTTCAATTTAAGCATTTGGATTAAATAAAAAATATTGAACAAATGAGACAAAACATAGGGCTATTGTTTAACTGCAAAACTACCGTAGGTAGGTATCTTTTAGAATGAGATGTTTTCTTGTAAATACAGGGACCAGAGTACCACACCACTCAAAATTTGACTCAGAAATACCAAAACATACAAATAAAAAAAGAATACGCCCAAAATGCAAAAACTAGGTAAAGTCCACTTTGAGATGGTTGCAGTGTTCACAACTTTACCCATTTTATTTAAATAAATAGTACTCACTAATGTGAGGCCGGCCGGTTTATCAGCCCCGATTTCCTTAATTTTGGGAAATCGGACAATACTTACACGAGAAAACGATTTGACACATTTTTTTAGTTTTAACAATAATTGTCTGAACTTCATTTATATTTCAGAGCACGACCTCATGGCCAGTTAAAACAAGTTTGTATTGTTTCTAGGATATTGTTCAAGGGTCTGTTTTTCAACAAAATAATATTAGAAAATTGAAGGGGCATTATGATATTATAACACCGGACAGTGTCGCTTATAAAACAAAATCAGTAGCGGCAAAAATCTGAATCGGCAGCTCAGACTTTTTAGAAATCGGTGATCAGTCAGAAAACTGAAATCGGTGCACCCTCAGTACTCAACACTGCATATCCAGGAACTGATGACTCTTGAATATTATCAATAATATCTGCCATTATATAAAATGTTATAAGTTGTTTGATGAGTTGTTTCAGTGCTTTTTAAATATGCTCCATCTATATCGTCATAGTTAAAACAAATTAAACCATATAGGTGCACTAACAGTTTAATGTTGTACAACACACAGGGCACTTTTTATCACTAATAATTGCTATGACAGCCTTATTAATGGCATCATTTAGTGGTTACATTATATTACCCTGGTGCTGCTCTGTTGCATAAACAGCTTTGCTTTATAATTATCTCACACGGCCCCAACAGAACATGACTCCAGCATACAGCAACAGTATTAGTGTGCTGATCCTATTTAACTTAATTTGCTGAGAAGGAAAACAAATGCAGAAAATTATTTATTGCTTTACTTAATATAGATAAAACAAATTACATGATATTCAGTAACAATAAGGGAAGTGTCGATGCTCCATTCAGAGTCGATGGAGTTGAGATTTGTAGAGTCAGTGAGGTGAAGTTTCTGGGCGTCATCATTGATGAAAAACTGACATGGAAACCTCACAAATAATTTAAGAACAAAAATAACTACATCTATTGCAGTACTGTACAAAGTAAGGGAGTTACTCAATGATAAAGCACTGTTTATGTTGTATGATGCAATAATTATGGGGGCCGAGGTGGTGTAGAGGCAGGGCAGCCGGCTCAGGACCCGAAAGTCCCAGGTTCGATCCCCGGTCACTGCATACCTCGTGGTGTCTCTGGGCAGCACACCTCATCCCCAAAATGTCACTTCTTCTAATTCTTGTCTCTATTTTGGCAGCTCTGGTAGCTTCTTTATGTAAATTCAGCTTAAACTTGTGAAATATGACACTAAATCTGACTGTACGCCCCCCATCCCCCCAAAAAACAAACAAATAAAACACCATAGTTCTGCAGACATTAGCATTGAACTCTGAGTGTTAGATGATCCGTCATTATTGTAAGCTCCAGTGCACGTCCAGACAGGACTGAACTTTGAATGTTCGCAGGAGCTTCCATCTAACGCAGCCCTGCAAGACAAACACCAGTGAGCCCCTGCATGACTCCGTTCTGCTGCTGGGTCAGGTGCTCCTCACGCTTTTAAACGCCACACAAGCTGTGTGCTGCACTTTCGCACTGCTACGCAAACACTTTATGCGTAAATACAATTTGAAACGGAGGCAGCATGGTGTTGCAGTGGTTACAGCTGGTGTCGCAGGATCGCCTCCCAGCCCTTTTTTGTGGAGTTTAAATGTTCTCTCCGTGCACAGTTTGATTGTCTTGGGGTACTCCAGTTTCCTCCATCAGACCAAAAACATGCATGTTAGGTTAACTGGTAACTTAATTTGCCCCTCGGTGTGAATGTTTTTCTGACTCTGTGTGGACTTGCAATTTGTCGAGGATGTCCCCTGCTTTTTGCACAGTAACTGCTGGAGATGGACACCAGCACGCCCATGACCCGAAAATGTAAAGCAAGTAAAGAAAATGGATGAACGGATTATTTAAAACAAGAATAAGTTCAACAAACGCTGACTTTTAGGACAAAATCCCACCCTGAGTGACATACACTCAATTTCCTCCACAGCTAATTTAAATTCAAATCAATTTTTATAACAAAATGTGTTCTAAACGTGCACGCTTTAACCCCGAATGGAGGTCATTTGTGGGCATAAACCACATCTGGGGTGACCCGCGCCTCAACTCACACACAGATGTGTTTCCTGCAGAAAAATGTATGCGGTTGGTGATTTACACAAGAAACCAACCAGGTCAATCTGAAATGATCTGACTCCAAACCTGCAGATTATGAATAGGTGTGCCTTAGTGTTCATGCATTGTAGTTAAGAACTACATGAACAGTTTAAAAGGTTATTTTGGCACATGATAAAATAAATCCACTGGGGTAGAACTCAAATAAAAGAGCAAATGAGAAAACTGAAAAACTTGAAGTGCTTCAGCAACAAATAAAAATCATACCGACAGGACAGTGCTGTGTTTTACAGTTTGACTTAGCCACTAAATGTAAATGGGAAACTGTCAAGCAAATGATTTCATTTCGCAGTTTTATTGTCTTGACTTGTGCTGAGGGGAAAGACGCTAAAAATGGAGCAGTAAAAGCAGCACCAGCTGGCATGCCCTCCTAAAATAACCTCTGCAACAAGCCAACACAAGACAGGAGGGAGTTCTGAACCGTGACCTGGTCCCAAACCTCGTGTGGACAAGTGTTTGAGCCGCTAACAGAGGAAAGGGAACAGGCTGATGTCCTCCCTAGAAAACTGCAGTAAACTAGACGTGACGTTGTGTCGTTAGCTCGGCCTGTTGACAGTGAAGCTACGGGCTAGCTAACAAAACATACCTGGTCTTTCAACAGAACATTTAGTGCAGACAACACAACAGCTACTATACACGTATTACAGCCGGACAGGTAAGAACGAAAGAACCATTAGCCCCACACATCAACAGTCTAAGCTGGGGATGACAGGTAGCTTAGCTAAATGTAGCTCCCCGGCTAACTGTCAAAAAAGAGCCAATAATATCAAAGACTCACATGTTACAATCGGCTTGTTTTCCATGGTGTAGATGATTGGCTTTTCCTCTTGACAGTCCATGTGTGTTAGAGGTAGTACTCCATGAAAATGACATTCAAACAGAGCTTTATTATTAGTAAGTGCTTATGTGTGCAGTTGCGTTGAATCGATGGGGCCTGTGTCCCACTGAACGTCCGGGAGTGACGTACAGCGGGAGCGACGTACAGCGTGCGTAATTAAAGGGCCAGGCACCAGTTTTATTCAACGGAAGGAAAACATCGTTTGAGGTTTGGCCTTCAGTAATACTAGGGGTGTAAATCACCAGCTTTACCACGATACAATATTATTTTGATTTGTTTGTATGACGATACGATTTTTCTCGATAGTCGGTCACAATACGATTTTGAAGTCTGTGATCAATATATTGCGGTATCAAATGCCCGTCTCATTTACATATAAATACATTTACAAAAACAATGCAAATATGATTTAACCATTTTATTTCTGTTATTGCAGGCACCAGGCATAAAAAAAAAAACATTTTTCTTAATGAATGAAAAAATAAAAATAAATGACCTGTTCAGTAGTCTCACATTTCTCATGTTTAAGTGCATTATTAAAAGTGCCCTGATTAGCTTTCAGTTATAAAGAAACAAAAATAGATATAGATCTTACGTAACACGACTATCAATGCCGTGTTTCTTCTTCAGGTGAACGGCAAAATTTGTTTTGTTTCCCGAGTATTTTAACTCACACTGTCACCAGCTGCATACGGCACGAGTTTTGTCTGTTGGAATCCAAAATATTTCCACCGTGTTGATTTAAATCCAGCAGGAGAGTGAATTTCATTATATGTGTTTCCTGCCTCGTCTGCCATGTTGCTGAGGCGGCTGCAGAGCACAGCCGCGCACGGACATGGTGACACAGACCGGCCTTGGGAATTTCAAAATAAAAGTGTATTTTAAAGATGACGATATGATCGATGTTTTAGTTTTGCCACGATATATTGAATCATTAATCATTGAATCGATATATCGATTTAAATCGATGTAATGTTACACCCCTACTAATTACAATGTTAACAATAATGCCTGAATCAAAATTATTTATCTGACAGGATGAATATATATATTTCATTTTATCTCCTTGTACGCTATTGGTGACCTGGATATTTTACATAAAACAATGTGACAATAATAAAATGAAAAAGTATCAATATCTTATTCAGCTGTTTTGTACACTTAGATTTAAATAGATCAAACATAACTCTCTTTCTTAGTTTCAGACAATTTTCTGAGACAGTTTGAGACAGTCAAGCTATTTAATGGTCATTAATGGTGTGCCACAAGGCTCAGTTTTAGGACTCTCTTTTTACAATTTATATAAATGATGTAGGTCAAAACATTTATGCTGATAATACAGTTGTCGAGCTAAAACAGTTGCCGTGGTTTTCCAGCTTCTACAGTCTGCATTCGACAGCATTCAGTCAGACTTGTTCTGTCTCAAACTGGCGCTAAATGCTGATAAAACCAAGGGAATGTTTTCACACAGGAAGTCGGTTCCAGCAATTTTTCCTCCTATCTCATCCATGCTTGGTGTTCCTAATAAGTTTGTGGATTCTTACAAATGGAAGTTTTAATTGATGCACAGCACATCTCTCTTTTAAGCCACAGCTTGATAAAGAAACTGAAATTGAAACTGGGTTTCTTTTTTCAGAAATAGATCTTGTTTAACTCTGAGTGCAAGGAAATGCCTTGTAGCTGCAACTTTCATAACAGCTATTAATTATAGTGACATTATTTACCTGGATGTCCCTGACTGCTCCTTGCAGATGTTGAATGGTGCTGTAAGATTCATAACTAGTTGTAACTACCGTACCCATCACTGCACTCTGTATTCATTGGTCAGTTGGTCATCGTTAACGTCACACAGACTCTCACACTGGTTCATCTTCATCTATGAATCCCTCCTTGGTCTGCTACCTTCTTATATCTCCTCCTACATGCCACGTTGTCAGTGCAGTTACGGCGTGCACTCTCAAGCTTTAATTACCTGCAGCGTTCCCTCAGTGGAGACTGAACTCAGCAAAAAGGCCTTTTCCTACTCAGCTCCTGTTTCCTGGAACACCTAGCAACAGGAACTAAATCTGTCCACCTTGATCTTTTTAAGGGATTTTAAACAATTGATAAGGTCAATAAAAGAGTCTATACAAATATATTTTTGTTTTTAGTATGTTTCCTTGTACTCCGGTTTCCTCCCACAGATTAAAAAAAAAAAAAAAACATGCATGTTAGACTGATTGGTAACTCTAAATTGTCCCTAGGTGAGAGAGAGAGAGTGAATGGTTGTTTGTCTCGTTTGTCTCTATGTGTCTCTGTGATGGACTTGTGACCTGTCCAGGGTGTCCCCCGCCCCTGGCACAGTGATTGCTGGACATGGGCACCGGCGACCCCCGTGACCCAAAATGGAAGAAGCAGGTAAAAGATAATGGATGTATATATATATATATATATATATATGAACGAACGAATATGTAATCTGTTTAAAACAGGTCTCTTGGAAACGAGTCATGACTCAGTGAGATTAACCTGTATAAATAAAGATTGAATAAAAAAGGTGATTCCCCAACTCCCTTATTGCTGTAATTATCAAATAACCTAAATAAGGCTACAATAAAACAAATCTCCTAAAATTCTGTTCTGGCTTTTGGTTTTGGTGTGTTATTCCAGGACTTTCAGTGGCCCCTACATTAGAAAAGTGGCAAAAACTGAAACTATAATAGAAAAAAATGAAAACATATTCATGTTAACATTTGTATGTTTCCTCCCACATGATTCCAATAAGCTGCAGTATAGATTATGTAATATTTATTATCTGTTTGTGATGTTGGCCTTTGCACTGAGTTCTTTTTGTTTTGCAGCAATGCAAGATGCTTGTGTTGTTTCACCTGGTGTCAATAAAAAAAATAAAAATAAAAATATCCTTATTTGGCACAGACTGAGGAGGAGTAATTGACCTTATTTTACCTAAAAGTAAAACTTTAAGAAAATATTCCGTTCTACTATAATTTCAAATATTTGTTTAATTAAAGGTACATAATTAAAAAAGAGACTACCATTCAATTTCACTGACTAAAAATAGTCAATTAAAAAATATATAATCACGTGTTTACATCTAAAATGTGACACAATGCTGCCACCAAGAGGACAAAAGATGAATTGCAACGTGATACGTTTTATTTACACAAACAAAAATATATGAGTAAATATTTTCTCAGCTTCTCGTTTTATCAGACATTTAGTTTATGTTTTATTTTTTATGCATTTCACTCTTTTCTGTCTTTTTCATCTTGGTCGTCTGCCTTTTCCACCCTCTTGTCAGATTCTGTCTCGTCACAGTTCTCTTCTTCTCCATGTCCAGGTTCAGTCTCAGCTCCGTCACCTTTCCTGGGTCTGTCGTCTCCTCTGGCTCTGACTCTCTCCTCCTCTTCTTCTTTTTTCTCTCTCAGACCGTCTCCCTCCCTTTCAGTCTCATCTTTTGTAATTTTGGTGCTCTCTCCATCCCCTTCCTTGGTCACGTCATCGTCAGTTTGTCCCTGCCGTCTCGGCTTTACATTTAAATCCTCCTCCTCCCCCTCTGCCTCCTCTCGTTCCCATTGGGCCTCTCCTCCCACACCTTCATGTCTTCCCTGATCCCCTTCTCCTTGTCCATCATCTGGTGGCCGAGGGTCCAACTCTGCAGCCTGCTTCTCCAGCTGCTCCACCCTGGTCTGCATCTTGTGGTTGCTGGACTCCAACTCCACCATGAGTCGAGCCAGTTTGGTCTGCAGGGTTTCCACGTTGCCCTCCATCCGTTTAACCTTGGCTTCCACCTTCTCGGCCTCCACCTCCACCCCCTCTGTGCTATTCTCCAGCATGCCCATCTTGACGAGGATCTGCCGGCCTTTCTCCTCCAGGTGCCGTTTGGCTGCAGGGAACTCGGACAGCACGTCTGTCAGGTCTTCTTTGGACAGGCTGAACAGGTCCGAGTGGCCGATGCTCCTGATGTTGGCAGTGCGCCGATTGCCTGACTTGTTACCTGGAGGGTGGAAAATGGGGCTCATTATTAAAACATACATCAGCACTGAATCCTTGATGTTTAGTGAATCCTTTCTGAGCCTTGGTAGTGATTGCTGCCACATGATCCTTTTACTTTAATAGTTAATAAATGAGCTTTGTCTAGAGCCCCATGTTTGTCTGCATCCTGGGGGGTCCAAAACCTCCTGAGTCCTTTGCTGTTCGGCTGCATAGGTGTAAGAAAAATATCCAAGATGGCCACCACCTCATATATGTGTAAACTGATCACCTCTTTCATTTGAAGAAACTATGCCTTCTAGTTTTTATATTTCTTAAATGTATAGCTTCTTTAAATGATTTGTGTGGCTGAAGATTGATTAAGGTTGGGCATGTACTTGTTTTCTTCCAGTATTAACCTGCAAGTTAATGTCACCTACGTGTTGTGTTGTTACTTCTTTAGTATTAAAATGAAACATTTTACAGCAACGTAAGGACAGCACGAGACACAACCAAGAAAGAGAACACATTAAGTGAAGTACTTTATAAAGAAAACACATGAGAGAACTTTTCCTTTTCAGACAGCAAAACTACCGAGTACACCATTCTGATCAATTCTGGCCAGTTATTAGCCAAAGCACTGACTTGTAATTGGAATCCAACGTTATTATTATTGTCACGTTGGCCTTCAAAAGTCAAAGACAATTCAAAAACCTTGATCGATCAACAACAGAGGCATCAGGATACCTCATTTGGAAGAGGGAAACCGGTGCTCGCCAGCAAGCGCCTGGTGGTCGAGCCTTGGCTCCTGGGGCTCGGCCGGGCCAAGCCCGAAGAAACGACAGGAAGCCACCACCATGTGGGCTCACCATCTGCAGGGAGGACCGTCAAGGATGGGTGCAAAGCAAGCCAGGCATCAGGTGAGTGAGGGCCCTGCCATGTTGATGTTTGGTTCTAGGAACTTGGAATGCCACCTCACTGGCAGCGGGTAAGGAGCCGGAGCTTGTGTGTGAGGTTGAGCAGCACCATCTTAATATAGTCGGGCTCACCTCTCCATCCGTAGCAATTATAGGATTTGACCTTTAAAGGTGCTCAGCCCCCAGTACTGACAATGGCTCTTGGCTTGAATAACGCACCCCATGGTGCGGTTTGTGCAGCAAAAGCTTAGGGGACCTGGTATTCCCAAGCGGTCTCCCATCCAAGTACTAACCAGGCCAGACTCTGGGATCAGACGAGATCAGGGCGGTACGACCGTAAACGAGGAGCTCAGTTCCAGACAGGACTTTTAAAGGATCACAGCAAATAAAGACTAAACTTACGCAACCAGAAGTTACAACATAGATACAAAAGCTACAATACAAATGGGCAGCTCCACTGGGAGAGCTGGGTGCTCGATTCCACCAGCAGTCACATGTTGAAGTGCCCCTGGGCAAGACGTTTACCATTTCCAAAGCACAGCTAGCTTTAAGCATTAACCTTTAATTTAACTATTAACCTCTGACTGCAAAGTGTTTTTAAGGCAATACCTCAACAATGTTGTTGGAGGAAAAGGGGGTGGAGCTCCAGCAGTTAAGGGGCGTTTACCTTTGGGACAAATTGAGGTCACCGATTGGTCTGTTGCTGACGAGCCTACTGGATTGATTGACAGGTGACATTGAGGATCTGACTCGTGCAAAAAAATCAAAAACTTTACCCGCCTGTTTAAGAGTGTCATCATTTATTTCATTCCTATCCCAAATTTATTCAATATTTTGGTGGATCTAAAGTTTGAGAACTGAGTTTCTTTATACAATCCTAATGATGGTTTCTTTATTTTTCAGGGGTGCTCTGTTAAAATTTAGGGGAGCTTGAGCCCCCCCCCTCCCCAAACACAGACTGGGCTCTGGAACCCAACTGCTGGAAAAAGGCTGGACTCTCCGGAGGTGCTCAGGGATGTCCAGCAGGTGTGTGAATGCATCACTTTTCAGTTTCAAAGTCTGTAAATTCACCCACCATACCATTTTATTTATAGAGCACTTAAAACTGCGACAAGGCCAACCAAAGTGCTGTACGGACAGAACAACAGGTAACACACAAAATACAAAAGGAAGTAAATCAGAATATAGACATAAAAACGATGCAGATAATGACAATTAACCAGCGACGTAATGTCACGGCATTATTCTGGAGTATTTAGTACAAGTCCATATATTATAACCAAATTGGATTTTTTAATGAAACAACTAGATAAAAGAACAAAAAAACATAATTTTCAACAACTTCATCAAAGATTGTACCTCAAGTTTTAATTCAGGTTTTTTTTCTTTCAATAAATTAAAAGCACTCAGCAGAATCGGTCTGAGCTGAAACATCAAAGCTAACACATGCAAGAAGCACAAACCTTACCTTTGATGTTGAGGATACTTATTTCCCCAAAGAAATTCCCCGAGCTCAGAACAGCAAATTCTGTGATCCCATCGTCTGCTACAACTGCAAGTTTCCCCTCTTTGATGATGTACATTTCATGGCCCACGTCTCCCTTCCTGCAGACGTACTCTCCTGGGCTGAACACCTGCAGCATCAAAGGTGAGACAAGCCTCCACCATCGAGCAGCAGCTTTGACTCCAAACGTACAAGAAAAGAAGGTGATGTGAAGCGGTCTCTGAATGATGCACCTGAGAGGAGCAGGTGTGCTGTGGCTAATGCATTCAATACAATGTGTTGCCTCTTATATATACGGTATACGTACTGGTATATACTAAATACATATGATATTCTGTATATACTTATATTTAGGTTCTGATCATTAAATAGAGCAGTGGTCTTTAATAAAATTTAGAAAGCTCCTCCTAAGGAAACCACGTTGTTCTTTAGGCCTGTTGGGTTGAAAACTTTTTCTCTGCAACAACAAGCAGAAGGAAACCCTGATCAAGTTGTGGGAATTATCACAAATGCTTTAAAAGCTGCAGCCCTGCAGTGACCCGAGTGTGTTTGATTAGACAAGAGCCAGATAAAGTGACCGATAATTCACCAATCAGAAGGGAGAATTCTTATTTACGAGTCGTGACGTGTTTAAATCCATGAGTTGAAATGTTCTTTGGATAAATTAATGATATGATGTAATGGTTGTGTACCAAAGTCATGAGATAATCCTTGAAATAATTAATATAACGCTTCATCATCATCTAGAATGGTTTGCAGTAAATGCTAGAAAAGCTGTGCTGCCCTAAATGAATGACCATATCTTGTTCACTGTAAGAAAAAAAAAAAACGTTGAAGTTTGTTCAGTAAATTACCGGCTGTGGATGCAGAAATGATCACGGTCCAAAATATAATGAAAATGTAAATTACATTGTAACCATTAATTTATCTGTGAAGAACTGTCTTTCTTCTTTTACTGTAAAGTCATATGAATAAAATGATTATAAACAGGTTTATGGAAAATAAATATATAAAAAAATTCTGTAAACTTGATTTCATTTCCCCAGTAATAAATGTGCATGTGTATGTTGCAACCCAATAATGCTCAGTCAGATCATCTGGACAGTTTATATTTTCTAGAGACGTTCACCCTCTATCCAGAGGGCTTCATCAGTCTGAGGTGCTCCAAGTAAACTGTTTCCCCACAAAGCAGGAAACTCCAAATGGTTGGTCCACTTAAGGAGTTTACTGCTTTGTGGGAAAACAGTTTACTTGGAGCTCCTCAGACTGATGAAGCCCTCTGGATAGAGGGTGAAACGTCTCTAGAAAACATAAACTGTCCAGATGACCTGACTGAGCATTATTGGATTTTGTACCTGGATGATTGAGCATGAACTTTGTTGTATGTTGCAACATTTAAAATGAATTACCACATACGCTAGAAAAGCCTGTCTTTGCATTTCTCTCCATCGTCTACCGCTTTTCTGAAGTCGGGTTGAGGAGGACACATGTCCTGGAGAGAAACCCAGACCTCCCTCTCCCCAGCAACACTTTTTAACTCCTCCTGGGTGACTCCGAGGTGTTCACATGCCAGAGAAGATACAGTCCCACCAGTGAGTTCTGGGCCCAGAATACCTCTAAAGGGAGGCATCCAGGAGGCATCCTAACCAGATGCCTGAACCACCTCAACTGACTCCTGTTGATGTGGGGGAACAACTGCTCTAATTTGAGTTCTCCCCTGTATGATGGAGCTCCTCAACTTAAGGCTGAACCTCCCACCCTACAAAGAAAGCTCATTTTGTCCAGGATCTTGTTCTTTTGGTCATGACCCAACGTAGGCAGACCGGTAAATGGAGAGCTTTGCCTTTTGATTCAGCTCTTTCTTCACCATGACTGACCAAATCAACGCCCTCATTACTGAGGACGACGCCCCAATCCGTCGCTCCATCTCCCACTTCATCCTACCATCACATGTGAACAAGAAGCGCGGATGATTAAAGTCCTCCACCTGAGGCAAAAACTCCCTCTCAACCCTTCAGGTCGTTGCCTAAGAAAATTTACCTAAATGTGGGAAAATAATTTAGCTGTGTCCCCCCCCCCCCCCCTCCCCGACCTGAGGTGTGAGTTTGAGAACCAGCTCCTCCAGAAGACTCTTCTCGCAACTCTGGAAGATGGTAACTTTGGAGAGCGTGGGAAGGTGGACGCTGACAGCTATCTCTGTCCTCATGTGTAAAGGCAGCTTCTGCAGGATTTCTATCTCTCTCATGATCTTCTTGTTGATGTGAAGATGCTGGTACCAGTTATCAATCCGCTGCCGAAGCTCCTTGCTTACGTGGTGACTTCGCAGGTATGCTTTCACCTGAAGTAGAAGAACTTTGTTTTACTATGAAAATTAGTCAAAGCAGGATTGTGAACGTGTCTTTGTTTCTTTTTGACAGTTCTTACCAGCTCGTGGTTAGGAAAGAAGACGTTATCCCGGTCCCTCAGGCTTGTGATGACATTACCAACATTACCAACAATTGACGCAAACACCAGCACAGCAATGAGCAAGTCCGCAATCATAAATAAGTACTCCTCCTCCCTGTTTGGGAGAGGGGTGTCTCCTACTGTGGTGAATATCTGGGCAGAGAACCAGAAGCAGTAAAAGTACTGACGCCGCATGGAGGCGAACGTTGGGTCGGAGATGTTTGGGTAGACCCAAGGGTCGCTCCCAAAGCCAAGGTAGCTGGACAGTGCAAAGTAGAGACAGGCGTTCCAGTGGATCAGCACAAAGATGTAGATCATGAGCTTTGTGATGCGGAAAGTACTGGGGTAGGAGGTTCTTGTCTCCATGCGGTCCAAGGCCTCACTGAGCCTTGGGATACGCAGAAGGCGGTTAATCCTCACCATGGGAGTTTCAATGCCAACAGCAAAGTAGAGGAAGTCAGTGGGCAGCAGGGACGCCAGGTCCCAAAGGAAATGTTTGGAGCGCAAGTAGCGCTTCCTCAGCCTGGTCAGGTTCTTGATCAGGATCCCTTGCTCCAAGAAACCTGTGAAGAGGAAAAAGGAAACAAAAGGCAGAACTTAAATGACTTCAGCTCTGCCATGTTTATAAATCCGTCGGGTGTGCATGTGTCGTCTGTAAACTTTCTCTTGTACCGCACACAACTTCTTATCTGCTCAAGATATTTTAATGACGCTTCATACACATGTGCATGAGTATCGCGTACACTTTTCATCACCACAGCTCCAAGGTCACAATTCAAGGTCAAATCTTGTACAACATATTTTCTTGTTTGGGCCACAAGTTTTGATCTGCTCAAGACAATTTATGGAAACTTGTTACATATTTGTACCACCACTAGCAGCGTGTCAAATATATTTTTCATCCCTCCAGATCTAAAGTCAAGGTCACAAACCAAGGTTAAAGGTTATAAGTCTCTATTGCCTGGGCCATTGCTATAGATTATTGCTGTATAATAATTTGTTGACGGTGTATAATGTGCTGTATGACGTATTCATCATGAGACGGTCTTAGTTTAAAACTATGTCATGAAAAGTGGCGGACGAGGAGTGCTCGTCCTTTTATTTCTTTTTATTTCACAACTTTGATTTGTTTGTTTGAGCGCTCATTTTTAAGGTTTTGAAAAGTTTTTCCTCCCATTTAGTTCTGTTAAGTTTTGAAATCAGCATTATTTAGTGCAGTTACTAAAAACATGTCTTAGCTCGTGTTGCTACTTGGTTTTTGTATATTTAATATTTAAAACGTTCTATAACTCAGCCTTTTTAAAACAAGCATTTTATTCATTCACTGAGTCAACAGCAAACAATCTTGTTGCATCATGTCTGGAAAAGCACGTCGTTGCTGTTCTCCAGCAGACACACGACGTCTTACAAGAGGACAGAACAGACTTTGGGTTGCTCCTGCCACGGAGTGATATGGTGCACAGCTTTGACTGGTTGGTATTCATGGTCCATAAATTCAGTAAATGGTTCTGCTTTTCTCCACCAGCAGGGAATAATTTACGTCACAGACAATGGAAAACATTCCCTAGTTCTCACGAAGGACGTTACTTCCCACAGTCATGACAGATTATTACTCACAGAAGGCGGGCAATAATGTTTTTGCCTTTGTATAAGGTATGTGTGTTTATTAGATATACATATTTAACTAATTAATTTATGAAGTAAATCCAGCTCAAGACAGTTTTCTTGAAAAAGCACAAAAATGGCTACAGGTCTGTTGTTTGACAGGAACTGAGCTCAATTTTGAGTCGTTGCCATCACAGACTGTCAGCGTCAACATTGCATGTGATTGCACGTCACCTTCTTTTCAATGTTCTTTTTCTTTTGGTTGTTCCCTCTTCAGCGAGTCCTCCTCCATCTCACTCTGTCCTCTGTGTCCTCTGTCCTCACTCCAACTACCTCCATGTCCTCTCTAACTGCATCCATATGTCTCATCTTTGTCTTTTTCCTGCAGCTGCATTTCTAACATCCTTCTACCAATATACCCACTGTCCCTCCTCTGGACATGTCCAAACCACTGTCCCTCCTCTGGACATGTCCAAACCGTCTCAGTCTGGCCTCTCTAACTTCATCTCCCAGTTGTTCAACCTGTGCTACATGTTCCTTTAACTTGCTTCCCAGTATAAGAGGATCTTAATTGGAGTCTCTGGCGTAGAAGGGCAGCGTGCATTCTTTCTAGATCTTTAATTATCAAAGCGTTTGACATTTAGAAATCCATTCCTATAAAAGAAAAATGTTGTTTCCTGAAAACTGTTGCTTTAGTCTTAATCTCCAGCCACACTGCTGACTATCATGGAGCACCTGAGCTGTGACATGAAGGTGTGTTTACCTGTATGGAGCGTGATGAGCATGTCAACGGCATACATGAGGTCAGACAGGTAGTCCAGCGTGAGCCACACGGCTGAGTAGTTCAAGGCGATCGCAGTGAGACACGTCCTGATGACATAAATCCAACAGTGACGTCAGAGGACGTCTGATTGTCTCTCTTTATCAGTGTGTTAGGTGAAACTGTCTCGCAGTCATCACAGTGCAGTTCTTTACCTTAAAATGATGATGACCCAGTTGTAAACAATGGGCACTATCATCACCTGCAACCAGATATAATAAAAATGTTCTGCTGGATCCACCACCCACTCTTTCCAGCTGAGGGAAACAAACAACAACACAAATGATGGTTTTCTTCACATTCTTAGTTTTATTTCTTAACACGGTTAGTTTTAAAGTTACTGAGCTACAATTTGTTGTGGTGAGAGGACGCACCAACTTTTTCAAAATGTTGCCATTGTCTGTGTGCTGGTGTACTCTGTCATCCAGAACATGGTGAATAAAATAAATAAAGACTGAACCTTGGTCTGCACTTCACGTGGTTTGGTTTCCCATTCACAGATTTGTCTCAATGAAACAAAACTAGAAGGTGAAGTTTTAAACTTTTAAACTTGCTTGAATTTGCCAGTAGCTTTGTCTGTCTCTCTGTCTCTTTATGTCTGTCTCTATCAGTCTGTCTCTCTGTCTGTCTCACTGTATGTCTATCTGCCTGTCTCTTTGTGTCTGTTTCTCTGTCTGTCTCTCTGTTTGTCTGTATCTCTGTCTATCTGTCTCTCTGTTTGTCTCTCTGTCTGTCTCTTTGTCTGTCCCTCTGTTTATCTGTCTGTCCATCTGTCTGTCTGTCTGTCTCTCTGTTTGTCTGTATCTTTGTCTATCTGTCTGTCTCTCTGTCTGTCTCTCTGTCTGTCTCTTTGTCCATCTGTCTGCCTCTCTGTTTGTCTCTCCGTCTGTCTCTTTGTCTGTCCCTCTGTCTGTCTGTCCATCTGTCTGTATCTCTGTCTGTCTATCTGTCTGTCTCTCTGTTTATCTGTCTGTCTATCTGTCTGTCTCTCTGTTTATCTGTCTGTATATCTGTCTGTCTCTCTGTTTATCTGTCTGTATCTCTGTCTGTCTCTCTGTTTATCTGTCTGTCTCTCTGTCTCTCTCTCTCTGTTTATCTGTCTGTCTATCTGTCTGTCTCTCTGTTTATCTGTCTGTCTATCTGTCTGTCTCTCTGTTTATCTGTCTGTATCTCTGTCTGTCTCTCTGTTTATCTGTCTGTCTCTCTGTCTCTCTCTGTTTATCTGTCTGTCTATCTGTCTGTGTCTCTGTCTGTGTCTCTGTTTATCTGTCTGTTTCTCTGTCTGTCTCTGGTTGTCTGTATCGCGGTCTATTTGTCTCTCTCTCTCAGTTTGTCTATTTGTCTGTCTGTCTCTCTGTTTATCTGTCTGTCTATCTGTCTGTATCCCTGTCTGTCTCTCTGTTTATCTGTCTGTCTATCTGTCTGTCTCTCTCTCTGTTTATCTGTCTGTCTATCTGTCTGTATCTCTGTCTGTGTCTCTGTTTATCTGTCTGTTTCTCTGTCTGTCTGTCTGGTTGTCTGTATCGCGGTCTATTTGTCTCTCTCTCTCTGTTTGTCTATTTGTCTGTCTGTCTGTCTGTCTCTCTGTCTGTCTTTTTTCTGTCTGTCTCTCAGTCTGGTTTGAATGAAACTTGCAGACAGTAATCAATGGGTGGACATCTACAACTGATTATCTTACGGAGTCAACCTAATTCAAGATGGCTGCCACGGCCAACTGATCTTAGAAAACACAAAAATGACTGACAGTCAGTTTTACGTCTTGTAAGATAAAACTGGGAGTGGTAGTAGCTGAGCATGATCCTCAATAATCCTCTGACTGCTGCACATTGCACAAAATATTTACTCATAGAAACAGCAATACTTTAAATTTAAACCACTTTGTTTGAGGGTGTTATTTCTTCTTCCACTTTGCAAGTTACCAAGGACAAATATATTTTTAAAAATGTTCTTGTTTAGACATATTTTAAGAAAAAACAGACGATGCTAGGGCAGCAGACTGTTTGCTGAGGTTTTAATTAAGTAAATGTGATTTTAAAATCATTGTGTAATGTTAAAGTACCAACTCATGAACTACTCTGCATCGATTCTTTGTCTTGGCAAGTAAACAAACTGAAGTACTCGGTCCTTTAAGAAATACTACACCTTTATATTTGCAATGGAGTTGGTTTATAATACAGTTTCTTCTTATTATCCAGTACAAGGTCTTATCAATATTTTCAAATACAAGCAAATGTATGTTAATTAAAAAAACACAATTGTTTGTTTAGACTAGTTTTTCGTCATACTTTTAATTTTTTCATCTAATCAGAATTGATGAAAAGTGAATAAACCCATAAACAATGACGCAGCTTCCTTATTGTGCTACTTTTGGGTGTCAAAATAAAAATGTTTAGTTTTATTTTCTGCAGGGACTGTCACAGCGAGCAAAGTTGTTTGACGCCGGATGCCCTTCCTGATAAAACTCTGGCTCAATCCCAGAGCTTCAGAACTACAGGCCCGCGGGCCTGACCACCAAGTTCTCCATCAGCTGTAACGTCCAGCTCAGTACTCACTTGAACTTCTGCTTCAGCTTCACACGGTTGTTTTGTTCCTCGTCATCTTTGGCACCATCCTTTTCTTCGTTCACGTTCTGCCCCTGAGGCCACCTGAGCAGCCGTTGCCACTGGTTTCTCCTGACACTGTTGCCTGCTTCATCCATCCTCCGGTGTTTTAGGTTAAAATAAGCGTGTTTTTTCCTTTGAAACATGTGTTCTCCGCAGCTCAGGCACAAACACTCGACTGACCCAATACCAAAGCAGGTCTGCTTGAGCACTGCCTGGTGCTGCTGGTCTCCATGGAAGGAAACAACAACAGATGTCGGTAAATGCTCTGGGAATTCTTCCCTCCCCATGAAAACCAACGAGGTCATTACCTCCAGTGCAGTCAAAACCACATGTATCAGCCCATAAACACTCAGAATGATGGACCCTTTTAAACAAGAACTGTAAAATAACATTTGAGTGCTTCTAGAGTCCTAACTGGGTCAAAAGGAAACGATTTAATACATGGAATTAAAATGTTGTTCATAAACATATTTGTGTTATGACAAGGGCAAACTGCCTTTTCAGCATGGTTTTTTTTTTTTTTTTTTTACTCGAAAGGTCAGATTTTCAGGACAAGTTACACAGATATACAGGAAGTACACACAGATATACAGGAAGTGCATGAATACCAGTCACGAGAATCTGCCACACGCCGTGTGTGCAGCTTGTTTTTATACTCTTATCAGTTCAGCCAAGCTCACAGACTCGAAGGCATCCTTGAAGTTTTTCGTTCATTCCACCTTTATTTATACAGGCTAGCCTCATTGAGCGACGAGGACTCATTTACAAGAGGGACCTGTTCCAGACAGAACATATAAAGGACAGTAAACAATTATAATAAAATACAGTAAAAAATGCAGTTAAAATAAGTGTACAAACAATAAATCAGGGTGCTGTAAAACAGGGTGAAATAACAGGGTGAAGTGACAGCTGCATGCTGCAGCCTCACTCAGCTCCTCATCCAGCTTTCCATAATAACTCAAACATATGGCTCATGGGCAGAGTTAATATTCTCAGCCATAGTAACTAAAACATCCATAAACTTTGACCAACAATTTCCTAACAACATACAGGAAAAAAAAAAAAAAAAACAACAACCAAAAAACAAAACTTAATAGTCATAATTTTGACTTTCAAAGTCTCAATTAAGATTTTGTATCTCATAATTAATTCAGTTAAATTCAATGCATTTTATTTATATAGCGCCAAATCACAACAAAGTTGTCTCCGGACACTTTACAGAAACTTTATATTATGACTTTGTATTCCATAATTATAACTTTTTATCTCATCATTTTCACTTTGAAAGTTATTATTACGACATACCATTTAAATTTTTTATTTATTTTCCTTGGCACAAACAGGCTTCCGTACATTAGAGCAAACTAAGATATAATTGTATAGTGTCAAGGCTGGTGCTCACTTATCGAATATTTATTAGGATAAATTTCTCTTTTCCAAACATCAATTCTACGATCATAATACCATCCGCACACTGTGTGTCAATGTGTAAATAAAACATTGAAGTATCTGTTGTTGTTTGTTGCCTCGTTTGCATGAAGATCGCGTGTAACTACTTATGGCACTAATTTGTCTCCGTAGGTCGAGCCTTCCCGCAGCCGCGCTGTGACTCACGAGCCGAGTGGGCGGAGTCAAAGTAAGATGGCTGCGGGAAATGGTGAGAGTGTTTGAGAAATCATCAACTGGGATGTTTATCTGCGGATAGCAGGATGCACAGCTGGCCCAAAGAAGGAGTGGCTCGTTTGTTGTCTTCCCTGGGCCGGTGTGGCGTCTCTCATCAGCTGTGTGCGTGTTCTGTCCGTGCCAGTCATCGGGTTTGTTGCTCTGACATTGTGGAAATCAGCAGCTAACGCGTTAGCAACTAGCTAGCTGTCCGAGGAAATCTGCACCTTCCAGACACCGCTGGTGATAAACAAGGTACGTGGCTCTGACTCGCAGCTTTTTTAATTTAAGCTGTTTCCCAGCTGGATTATTTAGGTTCTGTTTAATGAAGTTGGGTATTTTCGTCCAGGTCCTACTAGCTTGTCTCATCTCACAGCATTGATTTGTCTCCTGACAGCTGCTGCAGGGTGAACCCTGACATTTGTTGCAATTATTAATTAGTTTTAAACAATTTAATGGATCTGTTGGACATACTGGCACCTGTAAGTGTCGATATATCAATCATGTCCCTGATTATTACCTGTTTCCAGCAGGAACTGGTGAGGGCTGAGGGTGAAGTTTGTAGCATTCAGACAAAACAAACTCTCTATTTCATAATCTGAACTCTCAAGTCTTACTTCTTCTTTTAGTAGTATTTATTTGTTGACACTTGTTTTTTAAACACTTATTTAAGCTGTTGGTCAAAGTCAAACAGAAACGTGTGTATTTCTGTTTATGATGAACACATTTGTCATGTGTACAGTTAAATCAGCTGTTTTGTCACATTTAACAAACTTAGGATTGTTGCTCTCCTCCGTCCTTCCCAAAGTTTTACAGCTGTTTATAAAAGCTACAAATACAATAAAGTGTTTGTTAGAAGCCGCCCTGTTTGTCCTTTGTCTCTAGCGCAGCAGCTGTGCAGGTTAATTAATGTTTCATTGTAATATTTTATTATCTAAATAGGTTTTTATGCAACGTTTAGCTGCCGTATTGGCTCAAATTTCAAATGTACTCGCAGGAAAATGATGCTGTAAGAGTTGTTTTGTCTTTTATTTAGAAAAGCTCTATTGTTTGTGTGATTGTTTTTTGAACTGATTATCATGTTTGCAGCTACAGAAACTACATTTTGTATTCAGGTGTCCACATTTGTCGGCGTGAGGTCAGAATGAGCTTTGTTTTTTTATTTTTACTGTCTATTAAAGCATGAACTGATCTCACTTTTTGACGAGGGAATCGTCCCGACAACCGTTCTGTTGAAAACTTTGAGACTCTTGTTTCACCCTCATGCCTCTGTCACCTTTAACGCTGGTAGGATGTATAAAGTTGGATGTATAAAGTTAAAAGGGAGCAGAATGTAACGATCATTTACAGGCGTTGTTAATTTGCTTATCGTAGGGACGCTGGAAACGAACTCTTCCCCGCGGTCAGTTTATCTGGAGCGTCCGACCTTTAGACCGTCTGAGGTTGTAACGGTGGAGAAGGTCCAACGGCTCAGCCTGATCGCTGTTTGACTTGTCTTGACAAAGGCCGCCTCGCTTTAGTCAAATGAACTTTGAACTCTCTTTATGGGTGTTTTTATGATTCTGTGTGTGACCTGACAATCACACTTTGAGTTTCCGCGTGCCTCTCAGCTTTTACGAGCTGAACCTACACGTTGAGTTTGGAGAATTGAAACGTAGCGACTCTCACTGACTTGGACTTAAAGTAACTGGATTTATGGTAAATACTGGGAAGCTTTCTGTTTAATAATCTTATTTTTGTTTAGCTCTAGTAGTTGGGCGTAGTTGATCTGCACGAACCATTTAAACACTAAGCTTTTTAACGTCAAAGACTTTTCTGTGAGCAGCATTAGAATAAGGGATGATTAATCATTAAGAGAGAAATGACGATGTTATCCAGCTTTTTAAAATGTATTTGTGTTTGGCAGCCAAAACTTGGACTCATTTTGTGAGTAACTGAATTACGTGTACGTTTTTTAACTCATGTCCTGACCCAAGTGAAAATCATGCGTTGTTAGTCCAAATCACGTGGGGACAAATTATAACAAAAATGTTGCTAATCCACTTTAATGTTTACGTTTCACTTTGTAGATCCTGTCATGTTTAACCTCAACTGGACTCACAGAGCAGGTCCTACAAAAACATCCTTTATTCAAGCACATATGTGTGTGTTTAATAATATGCTCAATAATATATTTATATCCGTGCATGGAGAAACTGGTGGTGGGATCCATCAGACACTGGCTACTTGCACGTCCAGGCCACCAAACCAGACCCTGTGGGTCGGGGGCTGAATGACTCTCCTGTGGGTCTAGCTGCCTACATTCTGGAGAAGTTCTCTACATGGACAAGCCATGACTTCAGGAACTTAGATGATGGAGGACTCACCAGGACGTTCTGTCCGGATGACCTGCTGACTAATGTGATGTTTTACTGGACCTTTGGTTGCATCATCTCCTCCATGAGGTTCTACAAGGAAAACTTTGGCAAAGGTCTGGACCAGCCCCACATGAAAATACCAGTCTATGACCCCACCGGCTTTGCCAGCTTCCCCAACGAGCTGATTCATGTACCCAAACTGGGGGTCAAACAGAAATATCGGAACCTGCTTACCTGTACTCCCATGGCTCGTGGGGCCATTTTGCTGCAATGGAAGAATCTCATCAGATGGATGAAGATGTGCAGAAGTTCATAAAACCGGTGGAGAAGATGAAGCAGTAAAGTTGATTCTTTGTTGAAATCAGGTCTCTCTTGTAAACGAGTCCTCGAGGCTCAATGGGATTAACCTGTGTAAATAAAGGTTGAATGAATAATCCAGGTAAAAATCCAACAATGTTCATTCAGGTCTTCTGGTCAGTTTATTTTTTGGCTGAGACGTTTTGTTGTGGCTCCTCGGTTTGAAGAAGAGAAATTGTCCAGATGACCTGACTGAACATCGTTGGATAGGAACAAATATATTTATTGAACTTTGTGGGATGAAAGTCACTTTTAATCTGTGAATAGGTTGCGATGATGATAAAATAATAATTTGTGGTTGACATTTAAAGTGGTTTGAAGTTGAGCGGTAAGCAGAAGACGAACTTTGCTGTAGTTTTCCCACAAAAGAGCTGAACGTTTCCTCGGTACAACAAGCGGCAGAGGCTTTCTGGGTTCTGAACGTTGGATGTTTATGGGTTTGTCCGGAACAGATCATGTGATCACATCAACATGATCACATTACAGTGATTAATCCTTGTTTGTTTTTTATTTTCTGTCTTTGTGATAAAGTTCTGTCATTTTTCATATTCGGTGCATGTCATCTGTTGAAACAGCCGTTTTTATCTGATAGACTGGGTTCACTAAGTTCTTAAACTGAGGAATGACACGTTGTTTTTATTTTGTTGTTTACATGTTGATGTTTACGTGGTGTTTGTGTCCACAGAGCGCAGCGCCCGTCCTGTCTGACTATGGAGTGGTGTTGGCTTCAGACTGGATGACAGGGTCCACAGGGAGGGCAGGGTCGCACCGTTCTTAAATCCACGCTTCTCCTCGTCCAACACTGACTGGCAGTGACGGCCCGTTCAGCCGAACTCCGTCTTCTCCTCCTCTCTGGTGTTTAGATACTCACCCTCCCCGCTCTGTCCCTCCTCTCCTCCTCCGTCCCTCGTCTTTATTCAGTTCTCTCCTAACTTCTCTCGCTCTAGATTTTTCCGTCTCTGCTGTGTGACTTTGTGAGACCGCTCGCCCGCCTCCTTCCCTCTGGCTTCGGTATGAGCTGGCTGAGCAGGTTGAACCCGCGGGGTCCCGGGAGCCGGTCCAGCCGGAGTGCCGCCCCCTCCAGTCCATGCACTGCAGATCCAGAGACCTGTCTCATGGTGTTTGAGAACCACTGGAGGCAGGTGAGCCAAGGACACAGAAACAACGTGCACGCTCACTTTTTGTTGCTCCATTGTTTTAATGATGCTTAGCTATGAGGCGACCAGCTGTTTCTGCTTACTAACATTTACTTTTGATTGTTAGTATTTATTTACTTTAAGTATCTGTAGTAGTTTTTGTTCCAATACCAGCCTCAAGGACTTGTATTTGTACTCATAAAAACATCCTGATACTTTGGACCAATACCACTTTTGGTGACATCACTTCCTCTTCTACTTTGCAAGTAGGTGAGGACAAAAATAAAAAAATGTCAATAGTTTGGAGATATTTTAAGATAATCACATGTAATGTTGAGACAGGAGACTTTGTTGTGTTCTTAACTAAATTTCCATTCGACCCATATTTCTATGACCGTAAATCTCCCGGAAGTTCAAATCCAGAGACGTACAACTCTTGATGGCGTCTGACTGTTGAGGGAAACATTTGACCGTATACCTGTAACTCACCTGGGTAATGGTCTGAAAACGACATCTGTTGCATCTTCATGCAGACGAGGAGGTTCTGTATTTTTTTATTTTTGCTAACAGCAGATGTTGTAGAGACCAGTAAAGATTTTTAGGACACAGTTTGAGTTTCAATGACTGATTTCTTGTTCACCCTCCATGTGCTGATTAAAACACCACAGAGTCCCAAGCAGATCTCAAATATCAGATTAGAACTGAGCTAACTCGTAAAGCTAACGCACTTTAAAGGAAACTAATTAGAAAAGTTTCCACGAGACGGCATCATGGAAAACACTGACTGTATCGTCAATATTTAACCTTAAATGACTTGAATCAGTATCAAGTACAAAATACAAGTCATGATAAGGACATTTCTAGTTGACATGTTCATTAAATTCAGTTCAGTTTATTTCTGTAGCTCCAAGTCACAGAAGCCGTCTCAGGGCTCTGAACAGAAACATTTACATAAAAAAGCCATTTAGTAAAAGTTCTTTATTTAAGGAAGCAGCAGGTTGTGGTGAAACTTTATTTCATCAGTCTCCCATCCTGAACAAGCACAATGGAGACAGTGGGAAGGAAAAACTCCCTTTAACAGGAAGAACCCTCCAACAGAACCAGCTCAGGACGAGCGAACATCTGCTTCAACCGGCTGGTTTGAGAGGACAGGAAGTACAAAGGTCCAGGTGTGGTTTCTATGGTCCAGGTGAACTTTCTATAAGAGGAAAGACAAAAAAAAAACGTTTTAAGATAGAAATAATTACGAATACAAACTATTCATGTGTATTCTTTGTAACTATTCCTTTGATGAAATTAGGTCAGTTTGTCCTCCCTCAGTCTAAGCCTATAGCAGCAGAACTAAGAGATAGCTCAGGAAACCCAAGCCAACCCTAACTATAGGATTTATCAAACAGGAAAGTCTTCAAACTGGACAATGTGTCAGCCTCATGGACAGAAACTGGAAGTTGGTTCCACAAGAGAGGAGCCTGAGAACTAGATCTTCCATTCTGCTTTTGGAAACTCTAGGAACTGCAAGTAAACCTGCAGTCTGAGAGTGAAGTGCTGTGTTAGGAAAATATGGAACAATAAGATCTGTAATATAAGATGCAGCTAGATTTATTTATGAATCTTTATTTAACCAGGCAAATCCCATTGAGATCGGTGATCTCTTGTGCAAGGGAGGCCTGAGCCTAACGTGCATGTGTTTGGACTGTGGGAGGAAACCGGAGTACACGGACAAAACCCATGCATGCACAGAGAGAACATGCAAACTCCTCCCAGAGAGACCCCAGGTCCAAACCAGGGACTGAACCCAGGACTTGATTGTTCTCGTGCTGATACAAGTATATCGTTGTGGCTCCGGTCCAGACTCTGAACGTGTTTTTTTTTTTAATGGGTGCAACGTGTTGTCTCTTCCTGATCGTTAAAACTGTCAAGAGGCAACGTTTTCCTCTAAATGGCAGCGTTGCATTTTTAGATTTACCTCTCACTTGAAGGCTCAGCGTTCATTCCAAGTAAAGTCTTTTCTAGAAGACGCAGATAAGTTGCTGATTTAGATATTTTAAGGAAAATGGTAGCAAGATTAAAAGATATTCCTACATAAAGAATTTAGGAGTCCCTTAAAAACATACAAGCTCTTTCTAGATTTCAGAAGTTTCATCTACAAGTCTTGTAGGAACCTGAAATAACTTCTTTATTTTTACGTCTTCAGAGGACTTTTGTTTTCTAGACTCGTAGCTTTCATTAAAACGTAAGCAGTCTGTTCTCTAATTAATTTCTGATGAACCATTGAGACTAAGAGGCGAACAGTGTTGTGGGAGGTGTTGGTTGTGCAAACATTAGTTGTGAAACAGCGAGCTGGGTCAGCTCCGCTCGCACAATGACAACACACTTTTAACCACGGCTGCACCGTCACCACCGAGATGACTTTCTAATTCAAGTGTTTGGGAAAATTCTCGTCACTTGACAGATATTTTAGTCCTGATATACAGTTTTATGTTGAGTTTTAAAATAATCTTTGTGTGTGCATATAAATATGTTTTATACATCTGTCGAATGCAGACGTATTTTGGTTTAGTCTCCATCCGTAAACTTTCTCTTGTCCGTGGCATAACTTGTATCCACTCAAGATAATTGAGTGACACTTCATAGAGCCCGGCCGATATGAAAGTTTGGGCTACTGCCTTTACCGATATTGGGAGGGGGTGGCAACTGCCAATAACCGATTATAATGGCTGAAAATATTTTAGCTTTGTCCAGCCCCAAGAATATAAATAAACTGCGAGTGGAGCGGGGCTTGTTTATTTTTTGCAGCCTTCCTAACATACATTCACATGTTCTATCCTTCACTATTCACCATAAAGTTATCAAGTGTGTTATAAAAATATAAATTAAACCCAGAACCGTTGTTCCTGTTCATTGTTCAGTCAGCCTATCGTGGCCATGCATCCCTTGAAAAGGAGGTGTTTAATCTCAATTGAACTTTTGTGGGTTAATAAATGTTTTAAAAAAACCTTAGATTACGAGCCGTACTTGGGTTTATCCAACCTTTTTATTCTGTTAGTTCAGCTGCAGCTCCGTCTTTTCTTCATCTGTGCAAAAGTCACTTTTTCAGAACTGCAGTCTTTGTACAGTATTTATTTTTAGGTAAAATCTAACAGTCTTTCTCTTATTAATGTAGAACTCTGTATCTTCTCTCATAAACTCCTTGTCTTTATGGTAGTCATCTTATTGTTTAACTTTATTAAACTTTTTTAATAAATTGAAAAAGATTGAGCAGCCAAAAAACACAGTTTTATCCTATTTATATCTTGTCTCTGCCATTTTCTTTTCTCGGTATCTAATGTTCCCACTGTCCCTGTAATAGTTTGGTTTATGTAGCCTTTGATGATCCTCACTGCTCGTTTGGCAGCAGCACCTTCTAAACCAGGGGTGCCCAATACGTCAATCTCCAAGGTATCATGGGTAGATCTCATGGCATTAAAAACTAGACGTCATCCGATCATCATCTATGAAATTTGTCTCTTGATTGACAGACGGCAGCCAGTCTGAGGCCACGTTTACACGACGTGAAACGTTCGTTCATGTACAGACAACAGCCTCATTACAGGAACCCCCCCCACGGAGGTGTGACACGATCCAAATGTGAAGTGGCACATGTGCACTCCAGTCAGCTGCAGTCCAAAGTTTTTCTGCTCTAACAACAGTTATAATCAATGTAACAACAGTTATAATCAATGTAACTACAGTTATAATCAATGTAACAACAGTTATAATCAATGTAACAACAGTTATAGTCAGTGTAACAACAGTTAGTCAGTGTAACAACAGTTATAATCAATTTAACAACAGTTATAATAAATATAACAACAGTTATAATCAATGTAACAACAGTTAGTCAGTGTAACAACAATTATAGTCTGTGTAACAACAGTTATAATCAATGTAACAACAGTTATAATCAATGTAACAACAGTTACAATCAATGTAACAAC